ATTTGTTTTAAATGAAAAAGTGTAATTATACTCAGACTTGCAACACATTCCCGTAACTTTTCAACGGTATTGTATTTGCAGTCATTTAGTCACTTTTGTTCGCGTGATCACAGCCATAAAGTGTTTGTTGTTTTCTCTTTTCTGTTTTTGTTTTTGTTTAAGCTGTCGCGGCATAAGGCATGACGCCATTTGGCCTTGACAGCGAATTTACTGGAGCGTCGCAGAAAACAAAGCTGGTTTTACACACGAACATATGCGGGAACATATTGAGGTAGTCGCGCTTATTCGCCCACCCACCAGCCGGTCGACAAATTTCAATTGTAAATTAAGAGAGACTCTTTGCTGTAGGTGTTTGTTTATATTTATATATGCTGGCGCCATTTGGCTGTCAATAAGATTGACGACGCACTTATGGCAATGGCGAGACCTGAGTGTTGTTCGTAATAGAAGTGACCCTTCATATTTACTTTTGTTGGGACGTTAAAAGTAATGTCTTCACCCCTGTTGGCTTTTTCTTTCGAGATATCTTTCTACCTTTCTTCGTTAGAAAATATTTTATACGCTCTAAATTAGTTGATGAGGTTATAAAACTACCGCAATTTACGATTATTAAAAATTAATAAAAAATCTGTATTTTTTTAGGTAATCAGTATCTTTAACAACCATTACATTGAATGTAATGCTGAATATCTTTGTCTGTAATTTTCAAAATCACGATTACTCATGCTTACGATACATTTTTAAAATTGCAATCACAAAATTTATATGAATATGATTACAGCAATGGTAATCAATTGTAATCATACGATTTTAAAAAGGTAATACATACGTAATTCAATACTATGGTTAGAATAATGTATCCTTTTATTACTACGATCGTAATGATCACAGTTAATGTAATCATATTTAATTACTTAGTAATCGCACTTTCAATGTAATCATGGATATCGGTTTTTTAAGTAATCAATACCTCTGAAAAGCATTACCGTAAATTTAATACTGAATAATCGTTACTATTCAGGTTTACGTTATAATTTCTAAAATTACAATCACAATACATATGATTATGACTACAATAATGTAATCATTAAACTTTTTAGAATGCTATACATATTTTGGTATCATGTATTGCTGTACTATATACTAGGAGTAATGAAAATTATGTAATCATAATTATATATAATTACATTAAAATTAAAGCAACAGCAATTGCAATTGCAATGTAATCAGATACATGGGTTTCAGTGTAGTCCTGCTTAGAATTTATACTAAATTCTGTAGATATTTTTATTGGTTTTTACTTTTAGTAATGTGGTTTCTAGAAACAATTTGTTTGTGTTCAGATTATCTACAATTTTATGTACTTGATTTTAAGTACTGTTTTACGACAAGATAAGATACCCGTTGCTATCAGTAATTGAAGAAAACAGCTTTTTACGTCGCAATCGAAGTGCAATTAATTGTAAATACATATTCACAGTTCTCTTCAGGCAAACGGGTAAAAATGGCTTAAGTCGACAAAAGCAGTAATCATGAATTTCGAATTAATTTACTTAATAACGCTAAATTGTTGAGTAGGTGACGAAAAGGTAATTGCCGTCAAATAATAATACTTATGTAATGATGAAAAAGGACCAAGATATTAAATTTTTTGGTAATAATTATTGTTATATTGTGCTTTACACTTAAGTTGACTTAACTTACTTTTCGCCTTAAGCATAAAGATTGCCATATAAAACTTTAATTAACGATGTTTTAAGATAACAACTTTCCAATTAAAACTTGTTTATCAGGTACGAGCTTGCACTTTGTCTTTTAGACACTGTAAATTAATTTTTTTTGCATTTTTTTTGCATTTTTTTTATATTCTCGATTAAAAAAAAAAAACTAAAAAATTAAAGAAAAAGTGAACAATTTTTTTTTTTCATATTTACCTTGCCACAGTGTTGTCGCTCACATTCAAATTGCTCTTATCACTGTTGTTATTGTCGTCGTCAAGTTTAGTAGCATTTCTGGTTTTGTTGTCACTTTTCAGTTCTTCAACATTTTCTTTATTTCCATCACTGGCTAAGCTGTTGCTGCCAACGTTAGCTGCCTCCAGCAGGCTTTGAATCTCATCGACGATTTTCAGCTTGTCGCCTACCGCCTGCGGTAATGTCGGTGGCAAATTTGGTTCGGGCAGTAAGACTTGCATTTTTGCTTAATTTAATTAATTAATTTTTTAGTTGATATGCTTGTTTTTCTTAAAGAAGATTTTGAGTCTTTTGAATGTCTTAAGTATATTTTATTATTTATTGACGTATATTTATGTGTCTGTGTATTAAAATTTATAAATAACGTTAAAAGTTTGCACGAACTCCACTAATTAAAACAACTTATTTTTCACACAAAATTTCGAAAATATTTTTCCAAAAGAATTTTCGAGCTGTCACTATATTTTTGAAATTCTTTGTTGTCTTTTCTTCTGCTACGATATTTCGTATTTAAAAATATTCTATATTTTAAAGGAGAATTTCACTTCTTTCACTATTGCTGACTGCCAGTTGACTAAACGTCCAAAAGACCAAATTTCCTACCTCAAGCACTCGCAATTCATTCATTCAAACAAACAACAACGCTTGCTGTGTTGCTGCCAATGTTAGTGGTGAATGCCTGCGTTACACACACACCTGCCACCTAGATATACATATGTGGTGAATAAGAGTCATCACAGTCGTCATACAATCAATTCCACCGGCGAGCGTTTCCCTCCTCAAGCAAACCTCGGCTGCTCTACGCTGGCGTAGTGAATCAGCTGCGTTGGTATTCAAAGGTGGTAAAATTTTGTTATTTTATTTTCATTTGGTGAGTATGTGTGACGCACTAGAAAACTCACCAAATGTCGTGCCAGCCAGCAACCACCCACTCCATGGCACTTTGTGGGTATGAGTACTGAATACGCGTGTGTGTATGTATGTATGTGTGGTTGTGTGTGACGCGTATAATTTTCGTTTTTTCCTTTTGTTGTAACATTGTTGCTACTTTTTTGGTGTTTTGTTTATTTTTGT